GCGGGCCAATTCATGTGGATTCAATGCGATTGTGCCTAAATTGGCCCGCAGTAGTCAACTTCAGTCATGGGAACCTGATAGCACTTTTGTTTCAACGCACACGTGTTGGAAACGTGTTGGAAAGACGTTGGACCAACGTTGAACAAATGTTGGAAACACGTCGGCCGCGTGTTGATCAAACGGTTGGAAACATAAAACGGTGATGCTCCAATGGTTGGCCACAGCATTTGTCGTCGTTCCAATGCTGGTCCGGCGCGGCGACCGAGTTGGAAACTTGATGAAATTTTCCCACATTTTTTCTGTTGACCCCTGACGACACCACTCCACCCACCTCCGATGACGACTTCGACACTGCCTCTCTCGACCCCTCCCAATTCACCTTTGAGGACCTCCACGCCGCCCACCTTATGCGGATGGAACGCCAGGATCGTGCCTCCCGACCGCCTTTTTCCTCTCTACCTCGCCGTCTCCAGAAACTTGCACTCGCAGAACGCATATACCTCCAGGAACACAACGGGTGTTTTCGCTGCCGCCATTTAGGTCACCAACAGACCGACTGCCCCAACGCTAGCCGCGCTTTACTCGACAGGCCCCTCGCCCGGCAGGACCCGGCCCTTCTACTCCCACTTCTTCCTCCACCGCAACAGTCGGGCCCTCCTCCACCTGAACATTGTCCCTTGTGGCTTGCAATCCTCCCCCGACATCGACCACTTGTCTGTCGGCTCTCCCATTGGTGACCATCTCTCCTCCACCGGTGGCCCACTTGGCATCGACTATCCGTCTGCCTACCCCTCCTCCGGTGACGCACATCCCATCAGACGACCCCCAGGCGACGCAGTCTACTACGCCTGCCCCCCTCCCGACGACGTATGCTATCCCATCGGTCGAGTTCCCACTAGCACCTGCTCTTCTACTCTCATCCCTAACCCCTTCTTTAGCACCTTCTCCGATCTCGTTGAGGAACAAGCACGACACGATCGGCTTGTTAGATTAGGCTTGGAACAACAACGCCTCAACACCATGATATTTTCTGCTTGTGCCGGAAACACACACTTCCAGCTCAAGTTTATCGTCGTCTCCCTTAGCGCATCGACGGTGAAGTTTTGGGACCTCCTTCATATTGGTGCCACCGGCAACTTCATCACTGAAGCTGGTGTCCGCAAAGCCGGTCTCTCTTCCACCGGCTATGATTCCCCGATCACCATCCGACTAGGGGATAAGGACTCAACCATCATTGTCGATCGCATTGTCCCCTAGACCCTCATGACTGTCGGTCCTCTTCGCAATCAGGTCTCCTTCGATGTCATGCACCTCATGTGCGACATCGTCTTGGGGACTCCATGGCTTGACAGTTCCATGCCCTACTCCTTCCACCCCTCCTTCGTCTGACTCACCCGCCCTCCTTACTCTCCTCTTGATATCCCTTACCTTCTCCCCCCTTTTACCCCACCCCCTGTCTCCCCTCACTAGTTCCTTCACATATCTTGTGAACACCCCGACTCCGCTTACTATTGTCTTGTTATCGACCACGAGTGTCCCGAGGACTTGCTTCCAACGGACAAACCAGACCAAGAACCCCCTTTCGATCCTCACATCACCGCTCTCCTCTCTGAATTCAAGGACGCCTTCCCTGAGTTCTTGCCCGCCGGTTTACCTCCCGATCGAGGTGTATCCCACACCATTGATCTCGAGCCCGGCCATTCTCCTCCTTATCGCCCTCCGTACCAACTCTCTGTCCCCGAGGCCGAAGAAATGAAGCGCCAGCTCAATGAACTCCTTGAAAAAGGATTCATTAAGCCTAGCTCCTTCCCCTTCGGAACCAATTGTCTCTTCGTCAAGAAGAACGACACCTCGAAACTCCGCATGTGCATAGACTATCGTGCCTTGAACCGGATCACGATCAAGAACGAGTACCCACTCCCCCAAATATCTGAACTTCTTGATCGCCTTCGCGGAGCCAAATATTTCACCAAGATCGACCTCCGCAGTGGCTTCCACCAGATCCGTATCCGCGAGGAGGACACCCACAAGACCGCAATCCGCTCTCATTTCTGTCACTACGAGTTCCTCGTAATGCCTTTCGGACTCACCAATGCCCCCGCCACATTCCTGTCCACCATGAACCACATCTTTCGGGCCCTCCTCGAAGTCTATGTCCTTGTGTACCTTGATGACATCCTCATCTTTAGCCACACCTTCGAGTCCCACCTTCAACACATTCGCCAAGTCCTCTCGATCCTCCAAGAGCAAAAATTTCACGCCAAGCTCAGCAGATGTACGTTTGCCGCTTCGAGCATCGAATACCTTGGCCACAATTGTCTCCGCTGAAGGCATCCGTGTGGACCGCTCGAAGGTCGCAGCCCTCGTCGAGTACCCCCCGCCCAAGACCCTCCTCCAACTCTGTTCCTTCCTCGGCCTTGCCAACTATTATCGACCGTTCATTCACAACTTTTCCGAGATCTCTTACCCTCTCCACGAACTCTCACGAAAGGACGAGCCCTTCAATTAGAACGATCGCCGCCAACACGCTTTCGACTTCCTCAAGCAAACCATCACAACGGCCCGTCCTCAAGATCGCCAACCCCACTCGCCATTTCTATGTCACCATTGATGCCTCTGACTTCGCCATTGGAGCCGTACTGTCCCAACATTTCCCCCGCGACACCATCGAGACCCTCTCCATCAAGGATTCGCCCACTCTGCCCGAGGCTCCACCCGGCGAATACCCCATCGCCTTCGCAAGCAAGAAACTCCTTCCCGCGGAAATGAATTACCCCTTCAACGAGAAGGAACTCCTCGCCGTGATTCACGCCCTCACAGTCTGGCGCCCGTACCTCGACGGGCAATACTTCACCATCCGCACTGACAACACCATTGTTTCTTCCATCCTCACCAAGAAAGACATCACCCCACGCCAATCTCGATGACTCGACTTCCTTGCCCAGTTCACATTCACCATTTGCCATACCCCCGGCAAAAGCAACCGCGTTGCTGTTGGCCTCTCTCGACGACCCGACCACAAGGCCCCCAAGAAGGTCTACGCCGCCATGACCCATATCCAGCTCCTCCCATCACTCCATCATCGATACACCCAAAGCTACCTCTCTTGCCCAGACTTCGCCGCCATTTACAACAAGCTCCGCGATCTTGACCCAGTCCCCGACTACTCCCTCCACGACAACCTCCTCTACATCGACACCAAAGGCACTCGCCGACTGTGCATCCCCGGCACACGTGGTCTTCGTACCCAGCTCTTGGCCGAGCACCACGACGCCAAGACCGCAGGTCACCTCGGTTTCCAGAAAACCTTCGACACCATCTCCCGCTACTTCTATTGGCATTCTCTACTCACCGACGTCAAAACATACATTCGCTCATGTCCCACGTGTCAGGCTGTCAATCCCTCGAACTGGGCCAAACCCGGCAAGCTCCAATCATTGCCCATCCCCACTCACCAGTGGCAGTCCATCGCCATGGACTTCATGTGCGGTCTCCCTAAGACCGACCACGGGCATGATTGCATCTACGTCATTGTCTGCCGCCTGACCAAACGCGCCCACTTCATTCCTTGCACCACCTCGCACACCGCCAAAGACAACGCCTTACTCTTCTTCGGCCATGTTGCATGCCACCACGGCTTCCCCGAGAATATCATCAGCGACCGCGATCCCCGTTACCTCTCATAGTTCTGGAAACAACTCTTCAACGCCTACGGAACTACACTCAAGTATATCACTGCATTCCACCCACAGACCGATGGACAAACCGAGAAGATGAACGATACTCTCCAAAGAATCCTACGGAAGTACTGTCATCCACATCAACACGACTGGGATCAGTTGCTCACCGCCGCCGAGATCGCCTACAACAACGCTGTATGTCCTTCCACTGGCTTGTCTCCATTCTACCTTGACCTTGGCTATCATCCACGCTTCCCCTCTCATTTCCTGCTTCCCTTGCGACTCAACCCCTCCACACCTTGCCCTTTCCTCAATAAATGGGTATCAACAATGAATCGACTCCTCAGAGAAGCAACCGAGGCCCTCGAAAGAACACAAGAACAACAAGCAAACAAGATCAACAAACACAGACGAGACTTGCAATTCAAAGTAGGGGACAAAGTCTGGCACTCCGCCAAACGCTTTGAACCCGAACATGGATTGTCAAAAAAACTCTCGAACAAATGGCTCGGACCCTTCCCCATCATTGAAAAAACCTCCGACGTCAACTACAAACTCAACTCCCCCCCGACATGAGTCGCGTCCACCCGGTCTTCCACATTGAATACTTAAAAGAATATCATGAATCCCCACCCCAATTCGCTGACAGCCCATATCCTAGACCTCCAGCTATCATGTTACCATAGGCCCTGAATTTGTTGTTGAAGCAATCATAGGTCGACGAACTACTCAGGTATCTGACCACCGGGAACCAATCACTGAATACAAAGTCAAATGGACCGGATACCCCGACGAAGAATCTACATGGGAACCTCTCTCGAATCTCAAGAATGTCATGAAATTTGTCCGCGCCTATGATCGTGCTACTCCTATGTCCTAGACACCCACGTAACTACAACCCTAAACGCCTGTATAAACCTTGCTACAACCTCGCAACCCCGTTCTACACATACGCTCCACCCTCCCCTCAACCCTGATTCCTGATGTCTGATCTGCCCTTGCCCTCGCCTAGCCTTGTCCCATCTGTCCTCTCCACTACCTTGTCTCTCTTGTCCAATGCTTATGAACCTGCGTGACGCCGGCGATAAAGGATCTAATTGCAAGTGCACGAGGACGATGGCCTGCTGCCTCACTGTTCATGGAGATTATGCAGCTGGTTTGGCCACCATGCTGTTTCATCGGTCGGCATCCCGACTCGCGGACTTACTGGAGCAGCAACTTGTGACATGGATCTTTGCATCAGTCTGTGACTTCCTTGCTTCCAGATCAGACATCATTGCAGTTCGTGTACCGGACGCACCCTAGCACTTGGACTTTGGACATTTGAACTACTGTTACGCTTCTTGAACTTCTACCTGTCGCAGCCGCTGAAGACCGCTTCTACCACCTACTCCAAGACCTGATCAAGACCGCTGCAGATCCCCTTTCAAGACACTTGGACACTTTGTTCCTACATGAGATCCTGCTTCCGACTCCTTCGGACACACCAGCCCTTGCCTYCTGAACAAACATTTTCATTTTTATTTATTTATTTATTTATTTACTTATTTATTTATTTATTTATTTATTTATTTATTTATTTATTTATTTATTCTTCTCCTGACTTTGACAACCCTGTAGAACATCATTAGCAGATCCTTGTTTCCCTGACCATTGTTCCCCTTACCCACTAGAACATCAATAGAAATTCCCTGTTCCCCTGACCATTGTTTCCCTTACCCACTAGAACATCAATAGAAATTCCCTGTTCTCCTGAACATCGTTTCCCCTACCCAGTAGAACATCAATAGAAATCCCCTGTTCCCTGAACATTGCTTAGCTTCCACTATAGACCCACCCAGTTACATCATACCTTCACCTGTGCAGAACACCAGACAGAATACCCTGTGACTTGCATCACTCCCCTTCTCCTTCTCCGACCAGTGATCGGCCCCGTCCCGTCCTTCACAGCTCCTTTTGTTTCCTTGGCTTTTTGGCAGCCGGGACGTTGCCTTTCAGAGGGAGGGGATAGTGTTACGGACTCCGCCAGGGCTCGATCCCTGGTCTATCTTTTTGCTGTTTCTGGTGCATCCCGTTTTTGGCCTGGCACCCTTTTTTTCCAAACCCCTCCTTTGGTACCGTTGGATTTTGGACAACTGGCGCCATGCTGCAATTCGGGCGCCACTTTCAAATACCGCATTTTTCAGTTCTGCCGTCGGGGCTTTTGCGGAAGTGCCCCTGGTACCGTACGTGTCACCGGTACTTATACCGGCTCCCCGTACAGTACGGGGACCAGTCTCGTACCAGTTTTCAGCTGCTGTACTCGTACGCAGTGTACTTGCTGTTTCGGCATTCGGAATCCAAGACTTCGACTTTGTGCCCTTGCCACTGTGTCTGCGTCCGACCCTCAGTCGTGTCGAGTGAGTTAGTGTGTGTGTGTGCTCTCACTCTCTCCCTCTCTCTCTCCTCTCCCTCGGCTCTCCCTCAGCCTCGCGCCCGTCACACAATGCACCTCAAGGTCCTCAACAAGCAAGGCGCCCACCTCCATAAGAGAAGGCTTGCGCCTCAACAAGCAAGGCACCCACCTCCATAAGAGAAGGGTTGCACCTCAACAAGCAAGGCGCCCACCTCAAAGATTACGTCAAGGACGTGGTCTGCACCTTCTCTTATGGATGGATGGATGGATGAAGGAATGGAATGGATGGATAAGATGATGGGTCAGGACTCCTTACATAGCACTGCACTGCAACAAGCTACCATCGTCCCGCGAACACAACGCAATGTCATTTTGACAGTATCGGGTCGGAAACATACCTTGTATACGTTCATTTTCAAGGTGCGTTATGTGCAGGGGAAGACGGTAGTAACACAGATGGCTGGGAGGAGGCGGCAAGGCGGCAGCCCATGCATGACCTCCTGTGTATAAGTGAATCGAAAGAAGATGCGAACGTTAAGACGTTAAGCCTCAGCATCCGTGGTTGGTTGATGAATGTGCTTTATGTCAGTGTTTGTGGAGAGAGCAGCGCAATTCAATTCCACAAGCAGTCCCTGCAAGGAGAAGAGTCTCGACAATCTGCGGGACTGTTTCCATGGGCTGCTATAACACAATACACATAACAACAGCTGCAACACTTTCTTTTCTTTTTCTAATTTGGACCGTTTCTCGATTTCTGCGAAAGTGTCATCCTTGCTTGCGCAGGGGCCATGCTAATCTTCATTCTCTGTATCGTTCCAATTTTAACGGATGTCCCGACGAAGGACTAGCTGCAACACTTTCGAGGAAAGGGTCGCTTGGAAATCCTCGCACTGGAGACTTTGCCATTGACCCTACGTGCTCCCCACCAATAGATGGAGCCTCCCCGAGCATGCTAGAGGCGTCTGCTCTTATCAGCGCCCCTAGCATTCACCCGGGTTGTTCCTGGAAGGAAAAATAAATAAATAAATAAAAAATAATAATAATAATAATAATAATAAATAGTTTTTTGACTTTTCTTCTTGGAGCAACATACACGTCGGAGAATCTGGGGTTGCCACATTGTTCGTCGACAGTCTGTTAAACGGTTAAATCACCAGTCCATGCGCAGGCGGCACTGTAGATTTTGCTCGTTACGCGAGTGGCGGACCAAAGTCTACAGTGCCCAGGTTTGGCAGAGGCTCCGCGGGAAGGGACAAACGTAGATTTTTTTCAAAGGCCGGCACTGCAGATTCTAGGGTCTGAAAAATGCCGCTTTTTTTTTTTTTTTTTTTTTTTTTCAAAAACAACCCTCACCAGTGCTAGAGGTGCTGGTAAGAGCAAACACCGCTAGCACCGGGGGGGAGGCTCCATCTATTGGTGGGGAGCGTCACCTGCTGGAACGCGGGTCCAGCGTCCCATATACATAGTGAAAATACAGACTGAAGTAGAGAAAACCCTGCCAGCATTGATTGCTCTGGGGTCCAGAGGATTAACTGAGCAGGTTGTATCGGGACAGGAACCTCTTCGCCCTATGCCAGGTGCCGGATATGTGCTGCTACCAACTGGTTCCCTTCTCCGAATGAGGAGCTGATGCTGGCGCCCCTACATCTATCCTGTTGCAGTCCTGCTTACTCCGCTCCATACCACTGCATGTCCACTACCGCCAACTGATGGGGTGGAAAGGGGTCGGGAAAATCCGATGGTGGCCGTAATGGAACCCCTTGGCCCACCGTTGTCCAGTCTCTGAAACAGATCGGATAGTCTTTAATGATCAGCTCCCGGTTGCCGTCGTGGTTGCCTGCTTCGTCTCCCTGAGCTTGGCCGCCGTCCCACTTGATGGAAGCGATTCGGCCTCCGGCTGCGCCTGTCTCTTATACACATCTAGATGTGTATAAGAGACAGGGACTGGACTGGTGGTTTCAACCACTCCCACGGTCCTACCCCATCCTGACCCATTTTTTGACAAATCAAAAGTAGTTGCATTTCCGACCAAAGCCAAAGAT